TGGGACATAGTGCCTACTCTGTACGCTGGCTATGGCTGTGACAGCCCTGTGCCCAGCCCTCCCCCACCACCTCTGTTGGCCAGCTCTAGACACAGACGTGACCACACAGTGAGACGATGGATCAAACACTGCCATCCTCACCTTGGCTGAATGTTGGCATCTGAGAGGGGGCTTTAAAAACCTCTGGTGCCCAGGTCACATCCCAGCTGATGAAATGCAGCCTCCCTGGGGCTGAAGCCCTGTCATCAATACAACTCTGTAGCTGATCCACCTCTGTGGTATCCCCCATAATTTCCAGTTCCCTGAACTCCCTTTTTCCAGTCAGGTTTTGGCCAGGTTTATGACCAAAAACTCCCTTTTTGGCCATAAGCCTGGATTTGAGCTACCAATTCCGCCGAGCACTTCTGGCTCTGCACCCTCGTCTGGGGTCACGTGCAGAGAGGCTTGATTGATTGAAGAAAGAAGCGGGGGTCGCGGCACCCACAGGCCCGCAGCTCCTCCTATGGGAGCAAGTGCTCCTACCCTCAGGGCTTCGGCCGGCGCGTCGCGGATGGTCTGAGGGAACAGAGAGAAACACAAGGGGCTGCCCCCATTCTCGGAGCTCCAGGAGGGCCTTTCTCCCTAGAAGCCGAGGACCTCTGCAGCTCTCCGCGGCCGTGTTCCCACTTCTGGGTCTCTGGTTGCTTTGAGAGCAAACTGGGGATACCAGGGTGAAAATGGAAGACTCAGCGCCTTCAGCACTACCTGGGATTCAGTCCCCTGTCAGTGCACTCATTCTGTCCCCACTTTGGAAACTATGGAGAGACAGGTTAGAGTGCACTTCCTGCATTTCATCTGAACTGAAACTCTTCGTTCTATTTCAAGCCATGATCTTTATGGAGCTTTTTGAAATGTTATGAAAAATAATCACAAGATAGTCAGGCGGTCTTCTGAGGTGTTGGGGACAGAAGAAATAATTGGGGCACTACCAGCTGCTGTGCAACAAGCCGCTCTAACCAAAAGTCGTAACATTAATCAATATAAGCCAAAACCCTAAAAAACAAAAAACGGAAAGCAAAAAGCTCTCACATTCCTTAGTCTGGGTTAATATTCCTGAGTAACCCGAGCCATGGGAAACTAAAGGGTTGGCACTGCGCTAGCTTCCACCTCATGAACATGCCTTTGTCTCTGTCGGCTCACTAACATTTATTGGCCCTTCGTGCATTGCAGATGCCTCACGGATGGTAAAACTCCAACACCTTTTGTTTAACGGAGTTGATGCAAAGGTGTTATGTGCTGTCATTTTCTTTAACACTACTAGATTTTGTAAAGTTCACAACTGTCATTGAAGTTACTTTTCCGAGTTGGTGACAGACTGGAAGCGGTAACACCCAGTTCTCTCCCTGGAAGTGCCATCTGGTGGATGGCGTTCTTGGCTGAGGAGATAGGGAGGAATAGAGCCATTTGCTTGTCAAGGACAGTACCCTGTAGTTCCCAAGGGCTTTCCAGCTATTGATACTTTCCTCATCATACTTTTGCAAGGCAGAGTAATGTCTGCATTTTAGAAGCCAGGAAACCCAAACACAAATGCTCACAGAAATGCATGGTATCTGTGAAGGAATGAGCTAAACCCTAACAATGAGATGCTGACAGTCTCCCAGTAGGTTAGGGCCTGGGAACTTGGATCAATGTCTAGTCCAAAGACAGAAGACACTTCTTGTCTGCTTTTATTGAGGCAAAAGGTATATGGAATAAAATTCACCCATTTTAAGACTGATAAGTTTTGGCAATTGTTAACAGCTGTGTAATCATCTCTATAAACAGCCTATAGATGGTGTCCATAACCCTAAATCCCCCAGGCCCCTTTGCCTTCAGGTCCCTAACCCAGCCCCAGGCCACCACCATCTGTCTCTGCAGCTCTGGGTCTGCAGGCCTCTCACCCAGGCCTCTGCAGAGTCCACTTCCTGCAACCTGGGTGCTCCTATCTCACATTCTACATACCCCTTCACCTAGGAAGCACCTCGAGGCCCTCAGACCAGCTCAGACGACTCCTCTTGTGCACCCGGGATCCCAGCTCCTGCGTCTGCAGCTTCAGCAGCCTCCAGACCCACACACACATAGTGCATCCAGACGAGCTGTTGTGAAGTGCTCTGAATGTATGCACAGTCCCTGCTCAGGCCGAGGCTTCCATTGTCTTAAATAAGTAAACACTTCAGAGTTAAATTGAGCCCTCCAAATTTTGTGGGAAAAAATCTAGTAAAACAATTCATTTCTCCAAACTGTGTGTCGCCTGTATGCCAGAAACTGCATATGATCTCAAAATTATCGGGATCAGGATCATTTAGTAACTATGCACTCAGGATTTAGGGTTATGGACATGGTCTATATACTGTTTCTGGAGATGATCACACAGCTGTAAACAATTGCCGGTGCAGATGAGGTTCGTTCCTTGGGTTTCCTTCAGAAGCACATCATGCAGTAACATGTGTCTGAAGGGCCCCCCAGGGTCAGTAGGCAGTCAAGGTGCCCTTACACTGTCCCTACAGGCTTCCCTCAATGCCTGAAGCACTGCCCAAGGGACCACTGCTGGTTCAGGATGAAGATAACTCAGGGGGTGGCAGGGACATTTATTCAATTCAACAAATATTTATGGAGAACCACTGCATGCTTAAGATATTTAAATAAAGCAGGATAGTTTGCATTTCCAAAGAACCATGCTCTGGGGTGGGGAGTTTACTGCAAAGTCAGCTGGATCTCTACTCTTTTGCCAAAAAAGTATGAGATCACTGAGCACTTCTAGGAGGTAAGAAAGTCCTTCTCTTCCTCTACTGGGGACAGCTGTGAGGAGTGGCTGGAGCCTGGGCCAAGGGTGACAGCTGCCCCACTTACCAGCTGTATGACTTTGGTGAATGAAGTCAGATCACTACCTCTGCACCTCAGCTTTCTTACCTGCAGTATGGGACATAGTGCCTACTCTGTACGCTGGCTATGGCTGTGACAGCCCTGTGCCCAGCCCTCCCCCACCACCTCTGTTGGCCAGCTCTAGACACAGACGTGACCACACAGTGAGACGATGGATCAAACACTGCCATCCTCACCTTGGCTGAATGTTGGCATCTGAGAGGGGGCTTTAAAAACCTCTGGTGCCCAGGTCACATCCCAGCTGATGAAATGCAGCCTCCCTGGGGCTGAAGCCCTGTCATCAATACAACTCTGTAGCTGAGTTCAGTGGGGAAGCTATCAACCCCTGATCCAGAAGGAAAGAGAAATGGCATGATTTCATCTCTAACAGAAAGAAAGTAGGGGAGGGTATTATGATCATTATTGTTAAATATAGTATTATGCCCTGTACAATGGAGGTTTAAGAACTATAAAAGGACATTTAATCAGAACTTTATAAATTTTGCAAAACACTTTCACATTCATGATCAAATTTGATCTTCAGAGAAATTTTAAAGAGAAGGAAACTGAGTCCTGGAGAATGCACTGACAAGCAGAAGGTACATGAAGTTAATGGTCAAACAAGTCTGGAGTAAATGCCTGACTTCAAAGCCCTCTTTCCATCCACCCTGCCCCCTGTGCCAGTCCGGCTGTACAAGAGAACCGTGTCCAGACCTAGATGCCTCCCCAGTATCACTGACCCTTGGACGCTAACCCCAGGCAGCTCCAACTCTGTGTGGCATTGCTCAGGCCACCCCACGAATGCCCTCCTCTGGCGTTTGCCATCTCTGCACAGGCACAGTCCCTGGAGTCTCCTCTGAAGCCCCCTCGCCTCCATTTATGGCATGGAGTGTCCTGTGGATCAGTCCACTTTTCAATCCCCTTGCCTCCCAGCCTCTCCCTGGATATTTCCAATAGCCACAAGTCATCTTGCCCTCCAGTCCCTGCCTTTGCCCTGTCTGCTCGACGCACTGAGGTCTGGGAGTCGGGCAGTTTCTTCATGTAAAAAGTGATCATGTTTGTGTCTGATGTATAATTCCATACACACACCCCAGAGCACAGCAGAAACTGGGACCGTTCCTGTGGCAAACGCCTTTAGTAAAGTACTTGAAAACCCGCAGCAGTACTCAGCCTGCTGCTGACCGCCAGCTATAGTCATGGGGCCACCAGCAAGCTCTGTAACTCCTCAAGCATACCACTTATGAAATGAGGAAGATGATGTACACTCATGAGGGTGTTGTGGCAATTGAATGGATAATTAAATGGACTGTACACACCAGTTGTTGATAAAAAATTGAGAAGCCACTCCTCTGTGAGGACCAAGGAAGGTCAAAGGTATTGGCCTGTGACATGCCACCCTCCCCTGGGGAGCTTCTGCATTCACATCACTGGGTCCTGAGAGCAAGCTGTGAGGTGGTGTCATTGTCCTCCTTGTGAGGTTGTGGTTGCCAGGCCCTCCCTCAGATGAATGGTAGGGCCTGGATTCAAACAGTGTGTACCCTTTGGAGTCCAAGGGACCATGTTCTGTGGGGGGTTGCTGCTATCTTCTTTTTCAGGGGATGAACAACCAGTATGCCCGCCGGGAGGTCTTCTGCCGGAACACCTGTCACGAGCTCAAACGCTTCTGGGAGAGGGAAATTGGCAAACAGACTTACTACCGAGAATCAGAGGAGCACCGCCTGGGAAGAAGTGCACTGAGAAAGTATGTGGATGGTTTGTCTATTTTTTAATTAATTTTTAAAGCAGACTTTATTTTTTAGGGCAGTTTAGGTTCAGAGCAAAACTCAGCAGAAAGGCAGGCATTCCCATACAGCCCCCTCGCCGTGTACAACCTCTCCCACGACAGACATTGACGCATCATTGTTTATCACCCTTGTCTATTATTTTGAAGCAAAATCCATTTCCCCAGCAGAATGCCAGATGAGCATCTCAGAGGATGTAATTATTTTAATTTTCCGTGTGTACATTCCTGCCACCACCTATAGTTATGGGCAATAATTTTCAAAATTCTTCTCAGTCAACAAATGTACTGTCATTCTTATCTTTATAAACAGAGACATCTCTCCTCTCTGTCACCATTTCTGGCATGTGAGGGTCACACTAAACTTGCAGAGCAGGTCAGCAGATGAGTCCGTGCAAAGCAATCCAGCAAGCAGCGACCAGTTTTCAGGATGCCGTGTGTGGTCCCCAGAGAAGAGCTGATGGACTCCCGCTCCTGTGCTGGGCGTCGCTGCTCTGGCCAAGCCAGCCAGCCTGCCAAGCGGAGAGCGGCAACTCGCATGCGCAGACCGTCACTGTGGGAGCCGCGCGGCTCGCTGCGCACACGCCGCATCTCCGCTGACCGCTGCGGCCACGGGCTGTGCGGGGCCGGGTGCTGGGGGAGCAGAGGCGGCCTGGCCCGGGAGCACCGCCCGGACTCCGTTCCGGCAGTCCGGGGCCGCTGGGCAAGACCGCGGGTCAGTTCACGGGAGTGAAACTCTGTTGCCTTCCAAACCCCCTCCTCACGGTAGAGGCGAGCCCTCGGGGCTTCCACATACACAGACTAGCTCGGCTGTATTCACAGCCACGGGCAAGAAAAAACAGGCCATCCTTCATGCTGGAGCATCGTGTCATCTCTCATCGGAGAGAGGCTGAGCTGGGGCAGTCAGCAGGCATTTCTGCGGCCCCTGCCAGCCTCCTTCCCTCAGGCCAGGCCACTCAGCACGCCGCCAACCAGAGGCCACAGTGAGTCCCATGCCCTGGGCGCGTGTGCCCCCCGGGAGCACGACGCAGAGGCCTCAGGGGCAGTGAAACCCGCCTGAGAATGATCAGGAAACCAAAGCCTACAGGAAGTGCAAGGCAAGGGGTGAGCAAAATTGGCTCTGGGACAAGCTATGCCATTCATTAAAACATGAAAATACATGCGGGCAGCATCTCTCTGTGCATGCCCCGCTGCAGGAAAAAAAGCTTTCTGGTTGGTGGGATGTCAAGGCTTTTATTGAATCCTTCTCCCCCATTTCCCTGGGTAGCCTTGCTTCAGAACATCTCTGATTTTAACCACTAGTCTTGTCCCTTCAAAAAATGGAGAACACAGCCCTGGCGGAGGCCCGGGACAGGGCTCAGCATGTCATTCCCCTCCCTGCTCCCTACTCCCACTTAGTCCGGCACTGAACACAGCAGCAGCAAGACGCTTGAGGAGAATCTCAGCCCTCTGGGTCTCCGGGTGAGACAGCAAACGCCTCAGCTTCCTCCTTATCGTTTCTATCATAGAGAAAGAGCCACTAAGAGAAGCCAGAGGGATGTTGGGGAGGTACTGCCTTTTATGGTGGGGACCAGTTGGCTGACAGTGTTGTTCACATGCTCCACATCCTTCCTAATTTCTTGTGTGCTTGTGTTATTGACAGTTGAGATGTGGGTACTGAAATCATTAGCTCTGCTTGCGGATTTGTCTGTTTCTTCTTACAGTTCAATCACATTTTGTTCCATGTATTTGGAAACTCGCCACACAAACATTTAGGGTTGTTATACCCTCTTGACGAATTGATCCCTTTATTGCCAAACGATTCTCTTTCTCTTTGGTAATATTCTTTGCTGTGAAATCTACCTTGACTGATATTAATTTAACCACTCCAGAGTTCTTTGATTTGGGTTAAGATGGATTATTTTTCCATCCTTTTACTTCTAACCTATTTGTGTCTTCATATTTAAAGTGATTTTCCTGTAGGCAGCCTATATTGGGATATCACTTTTTGATACAATTTGATCATCTTTGCATTTTCATTGGATTGTTTCCATCATTTGGTATGACTGGGTTTAAATCTACCATCTTGCTATTTGTCTTCTATTTCTCTTACCTGTTCCTTATTCCCTTCCTTTTTCTGCCTTCTTTAGATTAGTTAAATATTTTTTATGATTCCATTTCATCTCTTCCGATCGCTTTTTAACTATATCTCCTCGTGTTACTGTAGTGGCTGCTTTACTCTCTGTATATACATCCTTATCACAGTCCAACTTCACTTGGCATGTCGTTCACTTGATATGTACAGCATAAGAATCTTACAATGGTATTGTCCCATTTCTCCCTTCTCGGCCTTTGTGCTGTTGTACAAAATACAGTTTGACTTCCGCATTTGTTGTAAACCCCACATTACATAATTAACAGTTTTGCTTTTAACCATTGTCTGCTGTCAACCTGGTGTCACTCTCCTTCAGCTTGAAGGACTTCCTTTGACAAGTCTTGTGCTGATAGTCGGCTAGTGATGAATTCTTTCAGTTTTTGCATGTCTGAAACATCTTTATCTCACCCCTGTTTTTGAAAGATAGCTTTGCTGGGTAAGCAATTCAGCACAGACAGAATTCTTTCCTCTCCATTAAAGATATTGCACTTCCAAAGGAAAGTTCAGAGGATTAAGATTTTAAGATTGGAACACTTCGAACAAAAGTGAGAGTTAAAATATGTATCTATTTAAATTTGCAAGTCCTCTGCATACCTTAAAACCTAACTGCACACACGTGAGTGCACATACACACACTCTCAGAAAAAAGGAAGGAAGCATCCCTGAACCAACAGCCATGGAGATGAGCGCTCCATTCATGTGTTTTCTTTCTATCTCAGGCTCAGGGAAGAATGGAGGCAGAGACTGGAAACAAAGCTGAAATTGCAGAACAATCCAGAGGAGACTGAAAAGCGAGCAAATGTTGGCCGACAGCTTCTTGCTTCATTGACACAAGAGGATCCCAAGCACTGAGGTCCTCTGCTAGGAGAAGTCAATACACGTCCCTGAGTCCCTTGGCTATAGCAACAGATCTCACACTGTGGTTTCCCCACCTGTGGGGGTTTACCTGTCATCCCTTCCCAGCACTAAATGGAAATTACTAGCCAACTCAGTCCTCTCCACATAGGCCCAGGATATTATCCCAAATGTCTCTAAAGATAGTTTATTTAATGTCGAAGCTCCATGCAGTATACGTTATTTCCAGATTTTAAATTCTAAGCACACTACAGGGATGATCTTCATGCATAGTAGTTTTGCTCCTATTTCTAGGAAACTGTTGCATGTCATCCTTCTCCTTGTTTTCTTTTTATGACAAGAGAAATGCACCTACCTGCAGAAATAAAAATATCATGAATAGTCATTAAATAAGCTTAGCAAATAAATTAACCTAATATAATTTTTTCTTCATATGAATTCAATTGGCTTATTCAAAACCATGTTTACCTAGAACCATTCAATAAGCTCAGGATACTTTTAATCAAACTTGGCTGCCTTGCCATCGCTGGGGTGCACGCTGTTTCACTGCCTCCACATGCTTGCACTGGTTAGCTATCAGCTCAGCGAAAGTAGGTCAGGCCACCCCAACAAGTGTTTGCCACATAGATTCTGGATTTGAAATATCACTTCCCAGCCTTCTCTCAGCATAAGGTCGGTGCTTCTAAAAGTGCAAACTATAACTGGGCCTGGGGCAACCGCTCCCAACCCTGGCAGGGGAACAGAGAGCTGCGTGTTGCCAAGTACCTGATGGCTGTCGATAGCACCTGCAAGGCCGTACATGCCCAGGGCAGTGCTACCAAAGACAGAGAGCAAGGCAGGGGCGCTCTGGACAGGAGCAGGTGTGGTGTTGCAGTCCTGTAAATGCCCTGATGTGCCAGTAAGTGCTCCACCCACATCCTCAGGGAGCTCAGAAGGCTCCGTCGGGGCAAGGGGAGCCCCCAGGAGGTAAGAAGCGTTGGGGGAGCATTTCCCCAGGTCCCCTTACTTATGTGAGCGAGGAACTAGGACTCCAAACCCGCCCTTCCACGATGGTCTGTCATCTATTCTGGGATTCAGTTCAACTGGCAAAGTATGAAATTCATCTGGGTTCATTTGAGAGCATTTTAATGAAAGATGCATTTCTACTGGATATAGAAAGAAAATAGGAATTAAATAGAAGGAGGAGACAAGACAGGGCTTGCAGGCTGAGGGGCCTCAGAAGAAAGGCCTGCCCCCCATGAACTGCAAAACGCTGCAGCTGGAATCGAAGTGCAGCTGTGAGGCTGAACACGCAGGGGAAGGTTTGATGTTCACTTCCTTGTCCACCACACATCAAGCCCAGTGCTGGACAACCGGAATGCAGTGCAGGGAACCGGAGCCACTGGCTCTGCAGGCTACAGTGTAGGGAAGTCAGCAGGAAAGCCCAGGTCATTAAGTGTGAGGGACTTTAGCACTGTAAGTCACACCCCCTATAGGGACCCATTCTCACCTGGGGAGGACTTAGTAAGGACAAGCTAGTTAAGCCCAAGCAAGCATGACCCAGATGAAGCTGAGGCACACAGCTCAGCAGTCCTCGGCACCTTGAGGAAATGCAATCAGCAAAGCTAGATTGGGAGTGAGGAGGTGTTGCAAGAGCCAGAGCTGCAGAAACCAGCATCCAGGCCTTGCTGGCTGGGAGCCTAAGCTTTTCCGAAGGCACAGGAAGCCACTGAAGGACATTTGGCCAGGGGAGTGCCACAGTGGTCACAGTCCTGAGGTTCACCCTGAATGGAAAGGCAGGAGGACAGAGGTGGGAAGGCCAGCCAAGATCTGCTGCAGATGCCCCTCGAGAGGCTGGAGGGCCTACGCTAAGGCCTCAGTGCCCTGGAAGCAGGGACTGGAAGGAAAGGGGGAGACAGGCGTGAGTGCCACTTTCTCACAGTAGAGGGGGCTGGAAGCCCAAGGTCAAAGTGCCAGCAAGGTCAGCTTCCACGGAGAGCTCTTTCCTGTCCTGAAGGTGGCTCCCTTCCCAAGTGTCCTCCCCAGGCATGGGGAGAGAGGGAGGGACAGAGAAAGGGAGGAGAGTAAGATCTCTCTGGTGGGTCATCTTCTAAAGGCATTAGTCCCATTACAAGGGCCCCACCCTCATGACCTCATCCCAATCTAACTGCCTCCCAAAGGCCTCATTCTGAGTACCAGCACATCAGGGCTCAGAGCTTTACTACATGAATTCAAGCAAGTGGAGGACACAATTCAGTCCATAGCAGAATGGGGTGCTTTAAATCAATGTATCAAGTCCGGCACACTTCTCATTTGTAAAACTGACCAGGATCAACTCAGCAAAAACCTCGGAGAGTGAACTATGGTATGGAATACTGCCCAGATTTCACACTGGTCTCTGGGTAGCATACAAGCAGCAGACCACAAAAGCATAGAAAAGGCTTTGAAAAGTAACCGACATTTAAATCATAGCCCACAAAAGTGGGCCAGCACAAGAATTCTTAACATTAACAGATGGCCTGCTGCTAAAATAGACTTGTAAAGGAGAGAGTGTCTCATAACCGTGTACTCAAAATGTCCACGATGCAATCCAAAATCACTCATAACAAGAGCCAAGAAAACCTCAACTCCAGTGAGAAAGGATAATTAACAGACACCTGTACCGAGATGATACAAAGGTCGAAATTATCCAACAAGGACTTTAAGGCAGTTACACAAATGCTCTAACAAGCAATTACAAGCACTCTTAAAACAAAGGGGAAAAGTAAAACCTCTCAGCAAAGAAATGAAAGATAGAAGAATCAAACGGAAATTTCAGAAATGAAAAATACAATAACCAAAGTAAACAAAACAATAAAAATAAAACTGGATGAGCTCAACGGCAGAATAGAAAAATCAGAGGAAAGTACCAGTGAACATGCAGATAGTTCATAGAATTATATGATATGAAAAACAAACGGAAACAGTTTTCTTTAAAAAAGGGAACAGTGCCTCAGGACCTGTGGGACAATAACAGAAGATCTAAACCTTATGTCACTGGAGTCCCAAGAGGTGAGGATATCCACTCTCACCACTTCTGTTCGACACATTACTGGAAGTCTAGCCAAGGTAGTTAGACAAGAAGAAAGAAATAAAAGGTTTATTCTGTTTACAGATGAAATGCTCTTATATTTAGATAACTCTAAAGATTATATGCACACACAAAAGAAACTTTTAGAAGTATTAAATGAATTCAGAAAAGTCACAGGGTACAAAATCAACATGCAAAAATCAGCTGCATTTCTAATATAGCAAGAATAAGCTATCTTGCAAAGATTATGAAAACAATTCCATTTGCAATCACATCAAAAAGTATAAAATTCTTAGGAATTAATCAAAGGCCAAAGACTTATACACTGAAAAGTGTAAAACATTCCCATACTAAATTAAAGAAGATGCAAATAAATGGAAATACAGACTCTGTTTATGTATTAGAAGACTTAATATTGCTAAGATGCCAATACTACCCAAAGCAATCTACAGATTCGGTGTAATCCTATCAAAATACCAAGGTGCCTTTTACAGAAATAGAAAAATTTGTCCCAAAATTTATATGGAATCTCAAGAACTCCAAACACGAAACAATCTTGTAAAAAAATTAAGTTGGAGGGCTCACACTTCCTGATTTCAAAATTTATTACAAAGCTAGTAAACTAGTAATGAAAGCAGTGTGCTACTGGCACAAAGACAGACATAATACGATAATGGAATAGAAAGCCTAGAAATAAACTCTCATAGATGTGGTCAAGTGATTTTCGACAAGGTTGTCAAAATCCTTCAATGGAGAAAGGACAGACTTCTCAACAAACGGTGCTGGGAAAACTGGACACCCACATCCAAAGGAAGGAAGTTGGACCCTTACCTTATACCATATACAAAAATTAACTCAAAATGAATCAAAGCATTCATTATTGGCACTGGATTTGGCAATGATTTCTTAGATATGACCATAAAAGCATAGACAAAGAGAGAAAAAGAAACAGGAGTACATAAAATTTAAAACTACTGTGTATCAAAGGATACAATCAACATTGTGAAAAGACAACACATGGAATGGAAGAAAACATTTGCAAGTCATGTATTTGATAAAGGGTTAATATCCAGAACACATAAACAACTACAAGTCCACAACAAAAAATTAACAACCTAATTCAAAAATGGGCAATGGACTTGACTAGATATAGTCAAGTAGAAATTCAATAGAAATCTCCAAAGAAGATATACAAATAGACAATAAGCACATAAAAATATGTTCAACATCTTTAATCATTAGGGAAATGCAAATCAAAACCACAATGAAATACCACCTCACAGCTGTAGGATGGCTACTATCCAAAAACCAGAAACAAGTATTGGAGATGTGGAGAAATTAGCACCCTGTACACTGTTGGTGGGAATACAAAAGGGTGAAGTTGCTATCAGAAACAGAATGGTGGTTCCTTAGAGAATTAAACATAGGATGACTACATGATGCAGCAATTCCACTTTTGAGTATACCCTCAAAGGAATTGAAAGCAGGGTCTTGAAGAGATCTTTGTACACTTGTGTTCATAGAAGCAGTATTCACAATAGCCAAAAGGTGGAGGTAACCCAAGTGTCCATCACAAACAGATAAGCAAAATGTGGTATATACATAAATAAAATGTTATTTAGCCTTAAAGAAGAAATGTCTGGCACATGCTACAACATTCATAAACCTAGAAGCCATATGCTAAGTGAAATAAGCCAGTCACAAGGGACAAAGATTGTATGATTTCCACCAGACCTACGTGGATGGGGAAGAGGCAGTTACTCAAATAAAAAGTGGCAAGTATACTGGGTACAGAATTCTGATGGTCCCCACAGAGCCAAGAGGACAGTGACCAAATGGCACAGACCTCCTCGATGGGGCCCAGGCATGCTCCCAGCCTTGACTGTTCTGAGCAGCGTCTGCCCAGAGCTAAACTCAGAGAAGTCTCTGGTGATTCCTCTCCAA